TGGTTGAAGGGTGCCACTGGTAGGTTGAGTGGGTGGGTGGTTGAAGGGTGCCACTGGTAGGTTGAATGGGTGGGTGGTTGAAGGGTGCCACTGGTAGGTTGAGTGGGTGGGTGGTTGAAGGATCCCACTGGTAGGTTGAATGGGTGGGTGGTTGAAGGGTGCCACTGGTAGGTTGAGTGGGTGGGTGGTTGAAGGGTTCCTCTGCTAGGTTGACTGGGTGGGTAGTTGAAGGGTGCCTCTGGGAGGTTGAGTGGGTGGGTGGTTGAAGGGTGCCACTGGTAGGTCTTAGTTTTTTACTTTCCATCTGTTGATTCAGTCTGTATATCTTTGCTTTTTCCCTACACTAAATGACAGTTGTTTTATCAGTGTGTTTCTCTTCTCTCAAACTCAAATGCTCAGCCTATTATATTTATCTGAGGACTTAATCAATCTGTTTAAAAATGAGCCAATCTGTAAGCCACTTAAAAATAAAACAATATATTATCTTAAGCATGTAGGTGTTGTTTTGTTTTTCCAGTGGTTCTATTCCTCCGGGAGCCCGGTTTGACCCGCTCGGCCCACCGGGAACACGACCAGGGTAAGTACTTAAAGTACTGCTGTTGTAAAGTCTTAGTTACAGTGCAGCCTCTCTATGACCACCTTCGATATCACATCATCCTCTGTATAGCGACATGGTGCCCAGGTCCCAATTTTTTCCTTATATATAGATCTATATCATTAGTAATATTTTGGGTTGCCTGTCTATAATGACAACACTCTATAACGACATTTTTGGCAGTTGAGAATTTGAGTGCCTTATCACATGATACTCTTCACCAAAACCAATCTCATTTGATGTAAGTTTGTTCGTTGTTGCGGGTACGGCTAAGTGATGTTATAAGTTGGATGTAAGTGATTGGTTTTTGAAAAAGTTGACAAGCCTGTATTTTTTAGATATTTGGTGAGTCAGGAAATGAGTCAAGAATTCTTTTAGGTTTTAGTTTTAGTAAGAGTTTTACGGCACCTGCAACACAATAAAGTCATATAGGTGCCTAAGATTAGAGGTGTTACAAGAGAGTGATAGACGTTTGATAGGAAAGAAGAAGCAGACCACATCAGAGCACCTACCAACCACCCACAAGTATTCTTTGAGGAAAAATGTTTTACCTGTGATTTAGCAGTGTCAAAAGTGTACCAAAAAATGTCTCACAACGCTGTGGTATCGGGCGCTCGTCAATTTTTGGGCATGTGGAGTTATTGGTACCATCTTTAAGTCAGTTTATTTGTCTTGCTTTCAATGAAAAAACACCCATCTATCTTAAATAGAAGTCGAGATATTTGTGATTGAAGGAAGTAGGGTCCGCAAGGTTTCAGAGGTTACTGAAGTAAGAAAAGTTTGGTGACTTCCAAAGCTTGAAAGTCCTAGGAAAATGAAAATGTGCAATTTTTGTCCTTTAATCAACATTTTTTAAAAGTAAAATCCACATTGAATTTGTGGGGTTTTTTTAAAAGGTGTTGAGATAAAAGAGAAAATTTATATAAAAACTGCCAAACCAGCAGAAAAATGCCGTTTTCTTCGATTTCATAATTTTAACGAGCGCCTGATTTTTACCATGATGTCTCACATAATATAATATGTCAACAAAGCTGGTTTTTTATTCTTCTTTTTTTTCTTTTCAGACCCGACCCAGATCACGAGAGACCACCTGACAACTATGACGACATGTTCATGTGATCTCTGAGGCTGTTGGAGGAGTCGCTAGTTTTGTACAATTATAAAATAAAATATGTGGCACGGCGCAGTGGAATTAGGCACTCGCCGATTTTGGGACATATGGACTTATTGATATCATCTTAAAGTCTGTCCATTTGCCTTGCTTTGAATGAAAAAAATATCCATTTATCTTGGATACAAGTCAAGATATTGGCGATTGAAGGAGGTAGAGGTCGCCTGGTTTCAGAGGTATAATTAGCGAGAAAATGACCGTCACAGTTGGGTTATTTCTTTAGCTTGAGAGTCCATGGAAACTGAAAATTAATGGTTTTTCCTGCCTTTAATTAGCGTTTTTCAGTAAACTCCACACAGAAATGTGTTCTTTAATGAGCATGAAAGGTGTTGAGCCAAAAATTAAAAATTAGATAAAAATTCCCCAACCTGCTGAAAAATGCCAATTTCTTGACTTTCATTATTTTGACGAGCGCCTGATTTCACCACACTGCCTCACAAATGACTTTTGATGTGATGGAGCTCCCTGGTGACGGTGCTGTCGGCTCAAAAAGAGAGATCTATTTGTTTGATGTGAGATCTTACTTGTGGACATGATGCTTAACTCTTTCGCTACGGGGAGGGGGGGGGGGGGG